AGGAATCCGGCTGCTCCAGTAGCAGGGCCAAGGGGCGATCCTGGCCGGACCAAGGCTGGGAGAGCTTGTTCCTGCCCTGGGGGTCAACAAGGAGCTCCTCGCCAGGCTGGAATGGTAATGAGTAACAGCCCTCCCCTGGGGCTTCGCCTCATTCCTTGGGGGAGGAGAGGGCCTGAGCCCTTCCCTCCCTGCTGGCCGAGCGGGATCTGGGCATGGATTTGAACCTGGGGTCCTGTGTCCTCCAGGGACGCAGCAGACTCCGAGGGTTTGGGGGAGAAGATGCTTCAGAGGGTTTGGGGAGAAGATGCTTCAGAGGGGTTTAGGGAGAAGATGCTTCAGAGGGTTGGGGGAGAAGCCGCTTCCCCTTTGGGGGCCCCCACCCTGGAGGGGGTCCCCTAAGCCTGCAGCCTTTGCACTGGGCAAGCTGGGCAAAGGGGGGGACAGGGACAAGACCCTGCCAGGTTTGGGGGGTCCTGGCAGCAGGCACACGGCGAGGGGGGGGGTGTTGGTAGCAGGCGATGGGACAGCCTTGCCGTATCGCATTGCCCTGTGCAAAATGGGCGCTGGGCATCTCCGCTCCCGGTCTGGCATGGAGGAGGATGCTCCGCACCCCAGGCTCGCTCCGACATCCCCGGGGAGCTGAGCGGGGACGGGAGCTGAGCAGGGACGGGATCTGAGCGGGGATGGGATCTGAGCAGGGACGGGATCCGAGCGGGGATGGAATCCGAGCAGGGACGGGATCCGAGCAGGGATGGGATCTGAGCAGGGATGGGATCCGAGCGGGGACGGGATCTGAGCAGGGATGGGATCTGAGTGGAGACGTGATCTGAGCAGGGATGGGATCCGAGCGGGGACGGGATCCGGCCGGTAACGCGTCTCATCTGAAGGCCAGAGCGAGGAGCGGCGACGTGCAGGAGCTCCGCAGCGCCGTGGCTGCGCTCTGGCGATAAGCAAACCCTCCCCGGCCCCTCATTAAAGCAGGGGACGATAACGATTTTTCTGCGCCAGCTGACTCGGGCAAGGTGACCCCCGGGAGCACCGCTCCGAGCCCCCGCGCCGGCAGG